TCCCTGGTGTTTTCCAGATATAGGCTTTCTTTCTTAATTGAGGTTAAAAAAAAACCCCACTCATTAAAATGACTAATTTAACAACTTTGAAGTGTGTCCAATTTAGTGGCATTAATTGATTTCACATTGTTGTACTATCATAACTGTCCATCTTTAGAACTTTTTCCTGACCCACAAGAGAAACTCTGTAGCCTTTGAAGAATAACACCTCACCTTCCCCTTCCCCTATTCCCTGGGAACCACTATTATGCTTTCTGTCTCTGTGAATTTGACTATTCTAGGACCCTCACATAAGCAGAACTAAACAAGACGGGTCTCATTATGTCTGGCTTATTTCAGCAGATTGTTTTTAAGAGCCATCCATGTGGTAATACGTATCAACACATCATCCATTTGTAAGCCTGAATGATACGGCATCACAAGTTTATAGCCCCCCCCCTTTTTTTAATCCATTCATTCATTCATTGATGAACATTTGGGTTGTTTCTACTTTTGGCTCTTGTGAGTAATGCTGCCCTGACCATAGGTATACAAATTATCTGCTTAAGTCTCTGCTTTCAATTCTTGTGAGTATATTCCTAGGAGTGAAATCGCTGTATTGTGTGGTAATTCTATGTTTAATGTTTAGGAGAGCTGTGATACTGTATTCCTCTGTGATTGCATCATTTTACATTTTACATTTCTACCAGCAATGACATTTCAGTTTCTCTACATCCTTGCCAACACTTACTTGCCATTTCATGAAGTTTTTAAAACGTAAGTAATAATAGCGATCTGAACGAGTGTGACTTGGTGTCATAGTGGTTTTGATTTGCACCTCTTACATAGTAGAGGGCTCTGGGCCAGAGGTAAGATAGACAGAGCTCTAGCACTGGCCTAGCAATGATGGTAAAGTGGGGACACTAAGGGCAAGCTTTCCAAACCATGTAGTAGGGGCCTGGTAAGAATGTGGCCTCCCCTCCTTCCTGGAATCACAGTGGGGGCTGCATTGATACTCTGGTGAACAGCCAATGGGCCTGGGATTGGAATAGGACAGTGAGGGAAGGGAGGAACCTCAGTGGCTGCACTAGGCAGGAGTTTCAGACTGTAGTGAAGTGTTCCATGAGGAACAGGCTACAAAAGAAGGCTTGCTGTTCTTCGGCAAGAGCTCCTTGCTGATGAGGCCGTGGGTGGCCAGGATCTTGAGGAGTCTATGGTGAAACTTTTGGCTTATGAAGGCATAGATGACAGGGTTGAGGCAGCTGTGCAAGAACCCCAGAATCTCGGTGGCTTGCAGGGCCTGGTCAATGTGGTTGCGGCGAGCACAGGTGTCCACGATCACGTGGGTCCTCATGAGGGTGTCTGTAAGCAGGACCAGGTGGTAGGGCAGCCAGCAGAGCAAGAAGATGAGGATGACCACAAAGATGACCCACATGGCCTGATGTCTCTGCCTCATGCGGGACTTAATCATTTCATGCAGGGTGAATCCATAGCAGAACAGCATGACCAGCAGAGGCAGAAAAAAGCCGAAAGTCTGGGGCAGGATCCGCAGCACCATCCGCCATTTTGATGTACTGTTGCCCATGTCCTCATAGCAGATGGGGCTGGAGAAGGGCGGATAGATGACCTTACGAAAAATTAGGATAGGGAGGGACAAGCACAGGGACAGGGCCCATGTACTCAGACATACGAACTTGACCAAGTGGCGCTTCAGGGTGAGCAAGCGTGTGGCATGGACAATGGCCAGGTAGCGGTCCACACTGATGCAGGCCAGCAGGAGAATACCACTGTAGAAGTTGACTTCCTTCAGGAGGGACACCAGCTTGCATAGGGGTGTGCCAAAAATCCAGCCATTCACCTTGGAGGCGGCCCAGATGGGCAAGGTCAGAGCAAAGAGCAGATCGGCCATGGCCAGGTTCAAAAGGTAGACATCGGTGACAGAGCGGCTGACGCGGCTATACAAGATGACCAGCATCACCAGGGAGTTTCCCAGCAGGCTCAGCAGGAACACCAGGGCATAGATGGTGACCACTGCATATTTACTGATATCCAAGGATTCTGGCCGGCATGGGGCAGAATCTGGTAGAATAGGGGGCAGGTCAGTGCTGTAGTTGTAATTATCAAAGTCTTCATTAAGGAAATCTTCCCAGTCAATATCTTCCATTTTTGAGGTAAATTTAAATCCTGGCCTATAGAAGAGAGATGAGAGTTATCGTACAATAAGCCCTCCCCAGGTTCATGCCTGTCCTCCCAAGAAACAATTTTAGGATAATTTGCATTGGCTTGCATGTTACATGGAAGTAATTTTCATGTCAAATTTGTAAATGGTAGGGGGATCAGTGTTATAGGACAAGTTTAGTGATACATGATAAAATACCGTAGTTCTTTTCAGCATCAGAGAGAGATTCTTAGCATTTCTGGGACATGGCCAGACTCCATCGAAAGTTCCCTTCAGATAGTCCCTACAGGCCCTGCAGTCTTGCTTTCACACGCCATTGAGCATCCTGGTGTGGAGGATGGATTTAATGCTCAGAACCATGAGATGTCATTCAGTTCTTAATCTGGGGATGAAGCCTGCAGTGCAACTGAATTGTACCCCTAGGGAAAGGTCAAGATTTGACCAGAAAGCTGAGGGATGATCCCTTTGTGCAACTTTCTGAAAGTTGTTTTTAAAAGAAGTATTCTAGATAATGGTTTGAGACATAGCAGCATGGAGTTTCTGAGAGCTCATTGGTCTAGAATTATCTTTAGTCAGTTAACAAGGCCCAGTGCTTCTCTTTTGGGAAGGAAGAGGCCTGATCTGGGAGCATTTGTGTAGTTTGACAAACTGTATCCAAAATGACAAGCGCTTGGCTGACTGATTCTCCAAGTGGTGGGAACATTACTGGGGCAGGTGTGGGACAGCCAGGTTCTATCATGGGGTGGAGTGGGGTGAGCAGGGACAGCCAGCCTCTTCCCTACATAAGAGGAGGGGCATTAGGAAGCAGAGAAGACATGGAGGTGCACTGCCCTTGTTTGGCAGCTTTCCAGTCCTGCTGGGGCCCTCCTGTGTGTATGTGCCTTCATTCATCCTGACTGCACTGTCCCCCCAGACTTGGTCTAAGTCCATGGGCTCTGTGGTTCCTACAGGAACAGCAGAGATTCTGTTTCTGCCCATGCCTGGGTGTGGAGGGCTGGCTGCAGCCACTGTGTAATACATCCCAGGGTCTTAAAGGTTAAACTACGGTAAAGCAGCTCCCAAACTGAACCACAGCATAGATCCTCGTCCTGCCATTTCTTTCTAGCAATGGATGACCTTCCTAGGGCTATATCCTAGTCCATGACATGCCCCAGGGTAGGCCCCAGAGTCAGAGCAGAAATGGGGGAATCAGTCCAAGGAGCCACTTTACCCTGCCCAGTGTTTGCACACTGAACACAGGATGGATGAGAGCAATGTTGGTGGGGTATGGACAAAACGGAGCCCTCCCCTGTTGCTGGTGGGAATGAAAGATAGTGCAGCTGCCTTGGAAATCAGTTTAACAGTTGCTCAACAAGGTAAACAGAGTTACTGTGTGACCCTGCATTTACCAACCTAGGTTGTACCCAGAGAATAGAAAACATGTGTCCCTATAAAACCCTGTATATGAATGTTCAGAGCATCATTCCCAGGTCTGCTCCAGCTCTCGAGGAGTTAACTAACAGGGGAAGGAGTAGAGTGGGCCAAGGGGAACAGGAGGAACCTCAGAGTCCTTGCAGGAAGCAGGGGGGAGCTGACCTGGTGGACTGTTGAAGGTTGCCACAGTGCCACACTTTCAGTTCCCCAACACTGGCGAGGAGGAAAGGGAGTCCAGGGGTGCCTTTGTTTCAGGACAGGAAGCTCACTACCTTATAAGGCAACCCATTCTCCTGCTGATCTGCCAGAGGCCTAAAGCTGAGCTGAATTTCTATCTCTGGGGCCCCTTCCTTTAACCAAAAAAAATCCTTTTTAGAATAGTTCCCAAACTCAAGGGTTTAGCACAGCCCATCAGAGATCAAAAGATGGTTCCAAGACAGCAACATCTCCCCTGAACCTCCATGCACCCCTCAGCTGCACCCACCCAGCCATCATCTAACTTGCATTTTATCCTTTCTAATGTGCCCATCCCATGGAAGCTCTGCACCTGATTCTAAGAGAAGTGAAGCACCTAGAAGCATGGGGTGGAGGGGGCAAGGAGAGCCAGGGAGCTCAGAGGCAGGGGTCTGGAAGCGGAGGGCTCCAAAATACCACCTCCAAACTGAAACTCTGAGCTCTACATCCAGGTTCTCTCCAGCTCTGGTAGTCCAGTTGGACTGGCTGAGTCCTCCTGCCTGCCCCCAGTCACCTCCTCTCTAGCTCCCTGCTCTCTGCTGACAGCAGAGTCCAGGCTGATCCCAAGTGGAGTGCCAGTGATGATCCCACTTAGGGCTCTCCTGCTCATCTCTCCATCCCAATCCATATCTTGTTCCCTCCCTCCCAGCCCTTGGGCCACAGGTGCCAGGCAGATGCCTCCTCTGTAGAAGGCTCTGAGGTCCTGTGTGACCACTGAGATTGGGGAGACAGGAGAAACTGCCACTTGGCAAGGGTGACTTAGGCCAACTCTGAGCTACAGTGGCTTCTTCCTGCCCCCCAACCCCAACTTAGGCAGTTTCCAGAAGGTAAAAAGAGAGCGTTACCCACAAATAACCTTACCCCCCTGCTCTGCCACACAGAGGCAGCTGAGGCTTACACAAAATAATTCTCTACCCAAAGATACTAGTACTAGTACTCAGTTCACCCTTCTTTCTGCACCCACAGCCACCTGCCTTCCTGTCCTCCTGAGTTGGACCTTCCCAACCAGCACCCACCCTGTGCCCCACTCCACCCTAGTCCGTTGCCAGGAGCCCAGCCTGGGAGCACAGCAGGCTTCCCCGGGTCATCCCTTAGTCACTCTGTCAGTCACCTCCTCCCAGTTTCTTCTTCTAACACAGTGGCCAGCCCGAGACACCTGGATAGGCAGTCCTGCCCAGATCCAGAATTGGGGTTGGGGGCAGACACTGAGGTCATCCTGCAAGGATTCCCAGTGTGGGAAAGGGGAGCAGGGGGCCAGCAGAGTTAGAGAAGGACAGAAGGGTGCAGGGGGAGGCAGCTGCCCCTGTCTGCTCATTAACCACCTGGATTAGCCATTTCTGCCCAGAGGGGTGAGGAAGGAGAAGAGCTGGGTGTTGGGGAGGGCAGAGGGGGCCCTCATGCCAGGCTGTGCCCATGGCCAGGCCCACACTGAGGAGTGGAGGGGGAGAGAGTGCTCTGAACCCCTCCAGGCCCACCAGCCCCCTTGAAGAGTGGGTCAGCCCTCTGGGGGCAAAGAGAGCCCCAAGGAGGGGAATTCTGACCTGAGACCAGTTCTGGGGGGTGGCAGGGAAAGAAATGAAAAGGAAGCAATGCCCAGGCCCCTGTCATGGGCAGGCAGGTAGCACAGGAGAGCCCCAACACTTTCCTCTCTGGTCCATGTGTCCCTGCTCCCCAGCTAGCCTTGGTCTCAAGCAGCCCCTGACACCAGCTCCTCCAGCAAACTAACTCCTTCTGACTGGTGGCTCTCTCAGCACAGGGACAGCCACACCCCAGACCTCCCTGCCAGGACCACAGGAACATGTGAAGGTAGGTAACTGACAGGGAGACCCTGAGGGGCTGCCCCAGCCTAGAGCTATGGGACCAGGCAGGATGACCTCACCTTCCCCCAAATTACACCCTGATGAGTGGTCTCCACTGTATCAGTACTGGCAGCCCCACAGCCCTGCCAGCTCCAGCTCCCCAGCACACACACACTCTCACATACTCTCTCACACTCACACATTCACCTTTCCTGGAGAGGATACACTGAGTGAGGTGGATGTCTGGGCCAAGCGACTCCCAGGAAGGGGCAGTGGCCAGTGGTGGTGGCAAAAGCCGTGGCTGGCAAGAAGCAGGTTATCCACAGGAAGGGGGTGAACTGTGTGTCCAGGCAGGGAGCAGTGCAAGGAGCAGAGCTGGTCCCAGGGCCACTGCTGGGAGCCACTGAGCTGAGGGCTGTGCTAGCAGGGCTCCTTCCTTGGCTGGCTTAGGGTGTGGTCTAGCCTTGCGCTGTCTCCTTCCTGAGTCAGCGAGCTGTTGACTCCTTAGACCCTTGCAGTACTTACTGACTGTGCTCCTGGCAGAGCTGGCCAGGCTTGAGCAGGACACAGGTGCCTGGGACAGGAACTTGCCAGGGAATGGAGCCCCTAGAAAGCTACTGGGCCAGGGGCATTGGGGACAGGGGTGGGGAAAGGGGCAGAGGGGAGGCAGGACCAGGACTGCATGGAAATGACACAGCTGTAAAGAAATGGCCAAAATGCTGCTGGATGAGAAAGGATGTTCGGGTAAGACTATGACGGTGCTGTTGTTAATAATAATATAGCAGCCCTCAACTTTTGCAGAACACTCTGCTTTCTGCTGTTTCCAATTCATTTCGTGAGTGGAGGCCAGGAATCTCATTTCTTATTTTTCCCTTTAAATTTCTTATTTGAAGGTAATTTTGAGTTTACAGAAGAGATTCAGTGATAATTCCGATAGTACAGTTCCCACATACTCTTCCACCAGCTTTCCCTGCAGTTAACATCTGACATTATTGTGGCAAATTAATCAAAATTAATTAATTAACATCACTGCGATACTATTCATGCAACAGATTTCACCAGTTTTTCTACTAATGGTTGATTTGTTTCCAGAACCCAATCCAGGATCTCACCTTGCATTTAGTCTTCATATCTTCACAGTGAATTTCCAAATGTGACCGATTTGCAGTTTCCTTGTTCTGAATGTCTACTCTTTCACACACGCTGCATCATCTCAATTCTGCAGCTTTAGTAGTGTGTCTTGAGTCAAGTCGTGGCAGTCCTCTGACTTTGGTCTTCAATATCGTGTTGGCTATTCTGGTCTGTTCCCTTTGTATGTTATTTAGAATCATTTGGTCAATGCCTAAAATAACATGCTGGGACTTGAAACAGTGGGTGCATAGATCTACGTAGCTTTGGAGGCCATGCAATAATTTAATACATTTAGATAAGGAGTAAAGATCAGATCACTGTATTTGTGATATCCATCACATTAAATAGCTATTTTTTCTTTATGTGAGAACCACTCAAATTAATCTCTTGTAGCTATTTGAAGTATAC